AGAGAGAGAGAGAGAGAGAGAGAGAGAGAGAGGGAGAGAGAGAGAAAGAGAGAAGGAGGGGGACAGAGATGGGGAGGCAGAGGGATTGAAGGGAGGATATACATATTCAAAGAGATTGATAAATACATTCTAAATATAATAATACAGGTATGCGTTGTTCCTCTTCCTGCCTCCTTTCAACTCCCTCCCCACCCCATCTCCTTTCTACCACCCCCTTTCCATCCCACCTCCCCACCCATCCCTCTTCTCCCACTCTCTTTCCATCCCACGTCCCCACCCACCCCTACTCCCGTCTCCTTTTCACACCCTCCTCCTGACCCATCCTTCCTCCCACATTCTTTCTACACCTTCCTCTCCATCCACCCCTTCTCCCACTCCCTTTCTATTCCACCTCCCACATTCGTTCTACCCCTTTCTCCACTCCCATCCCTCTTCACACCTCCTTCCCAATCCCTCCTCACCCACCCCACCTCCCCACCCATCCTTCTCCACACCTCCTTTCTACCCCTCCCCACTCATCTCTCTTCCTGCCTCCTTTCCACTTTCTCCCCTCCCTTACCCCCTTTCCTCCACCCTCTTTCCACTCCTCCTCCCCACCCACCCCTTCTCCCGCCTCCTTTTCACTCCCTCCTCCCCGCCCATCCTTCCTCCCACATTCTTTCCTCTCCCTCCTCATCACCCACCCCTTCTCCCACCCTCTTTCCACCTCATATCCCTACCCATCTCTTTTCCTGCTTCCTTTCCACCCCGATCCCACCTCCCTACCCATCCCTCTTCACACCTCCTTTCCACCCCGACCCCACCCACCCATATCCCGGCCTCCTTTCCACCCCACCCCTACCCATCTTTCTTCACACCTCCTTTCCAACTCCTCCCTACCCACCCCTTCTCCCACTCCCTTTCCACCCCACCTCCCTACCAATCTCTCTTCCTGCCTCCTTTCTACCCCTCCCCAACCACCCCTATCCCCGCCTCCTTTCCACCCCACCTCCCTACCAATCTCTCTTCCTGCCTCCTTTCCAACTCCTCCCTACCCACCCCTTCTCCCACCCCCTTTCCACCCCACCTCCCTACCAATCTCTCTTCCTGCCTCCTTTCTACCCCTCCCCAACCACCCCTGTCCCCGCCTCCTTTCCACCCCATCTTCCTACCCATCTCTTTTCCTGC